CGTCGGCTAAATTTGCTTCGTCGAGAGAAAATGATTAATCAATATGTCTGACGGTCAGTAGTCTTTTTCACGCACTTATTCACTAGTATATATATATATATATGTATACCTGCAGATATCATGCCTCTTGTCACACATTACTTAGAACAAGATGCAAACAGTCACTCCAACAACTCCAGAGATGATTGACGTCAGAATAACAAATGCGAATCAAGAGAAAACATCTCGTATCGATCAACAACAAGCTCAATCAAACAGAGAGGTTTGTAAACAAAAGAATCGATTATATTACAGATCACAAGAAAAAAAACCTAGAGTATTTAGCAAAATAAAAAAGAAAATTAAATTTCAACTTTATAGTAGTTACGAGGTCGTTGTCTATATTCTAGGAGTACTCATTTATTCGACGCTTTTATTCAAGATCTGAATGGAGTGACATAATTGAACTTTTAGGATGGCTTTTTATCATTATTATTATTAATGTTGTCATTTGTGAATTGATAAGAATGTGCATTTTACATCTGTATAACACATCCAGTGATGTAAGTATGAAGCATATTGAAAATCAAAAACATAATTTCTCACGTTTAGACTTTTCTTTATTTATCACAATGTATACTTTGCGTCATAATACTTATCATTAGTTGCTGCATTATGTTTGCAGCAGCCATAACAAATGCCTATCTGCTCGCATGTGCCACATACTTTACTTTTGTTGCCATAGCAGATATCTTAAATGTTACAGGCGAGTAGACTAATTGAATATATATATATATATATATCGGTTCTTATCCGATGATAAATAATATTTATCTGAAAATTTTTAGGAAGAAACTCATACGAAAGATGGCGAATGAAAAACATCGTGGAATTTATTATCATTAGCATCATGTTGTTAATAGAGTTCATTATTATTGTTGAATTGGTTTATAGTTTTTCCAATGATTTCAGTCATAAACCATTCATTGAAGTATGTATTTATCTACAATAAGGGCATATTTCGGATTTTAAAATACACAAATAATCTTAATCGAAAGTATAATTTCGAGTTTTATTAGATATACATTTTCGACTTGAGTAATTTTTAATTGATGCCTGAGGGAGAATTACAGTATTTACTGTGTCAAGATTTATGAATATTCTTTCAATGACGTCTTTGCAATGGATTTATGATTTAATATAAGAATATATTTGATATAACAATGGGAGGAACATATTTTTATATTAAATTTTAGGATCGATTCGTGCTCTATCGATTTTCTGTGTATATAACAACTTTATCTTCTTTTGTCGTGTTGGCAATAGTTTGTACACCATAAATTACTGTTGATTCTTACTCCTTACAACATATTCGAAAAAGCATTAAACTAAACAGATAGATTGATATATGGTAGAATATATCTCTTTTTACTTGTTCAATATGTATCTTGTTGTTATTTGTTTATGTCTTGTGTAAAAAATAAATATAGAATAGATTTGTTTCTAAATCATCCTTCGATCTCTATGACAGCGTCGTGCAATGATTCATTTTTCTATAACAGATCAATTGATTAACATATCTCATGTTTATTCATACTAATCGACAAGAATTTCATAAATAAGATTTCTAATGAAAAGTGAAATTTGATTTTAAAAATAGTTGATTGCCTTTCTGTACTCACATTAATGAATGTTTGAATGAATCTTTTTATATTAACACATTTTGTTTGGATGATATAAAAAAATATAATTTAGTAACAATACTTAAATGTGGATCGTGTTTCAAATCTTTTCTATAAAGTATAATAATGGTAAACATAATATTTTATTCATGAGTCGAAGTTAGATGACATTGTGTCGAATCTATTTTCTGTGAAAAATAATATTTGAATTGAAATTTTTAAACAATAATCAAAATTTATTAAGCCGGTCAAAAATATAATTGCATTTGATGCAATTTTTCTTCAACGTGTTTTCTTTAAGTAGTCTGACAAATTCAAACTGGTTTCATCCGTAGTCTAAGATTACTTTTCAAGTTGATGATTCAGTTATATCGTCTGTTTCAGACAGAATCAAGAATAATCAGATATATATAGCTATTGAAAATGAAAGTAATTCTGTACTCTATCGAAATACTCAGAACAATTAAATTGTCATATAAGTTGAATATTAGCCTAAACTTGATTATTAGCCATACTAAAAAGTAACGGTTTTTTCTATAATAAACATCAATATCTTGATCATGATTTAAAAAAAGCAGTTCATAATAACATCCAGGAATGCAATGATTCCATTTCTTAGAATTAATATGATATTTGCCGTAATAGAAATTGATTAAGAGTAAAAAGCTTCCATTGCACAAATAGACACTTGACCATTTATAGGGTAACAGGAAACTGGAAAATTTTAGATTGAATTTTTTGTCGTTCACGAGGAGTCTATTTTGGACACAAAACGATTTTTTTATAAAGTTAGACCTCAGGTTTTCGAGCTCAAAGGAATCTGAATCTGTAATTAGTTTCTCGATGAAGTTGTCTCTACTTGAGGCACTTTTGGTTAAAACTTTGCAGAAAAATTGTTTTTGCTCGTAAAACGCCTTTCGTTACTACAAAAATCCAGTGAATAACTTTCCACTATCTCGCTACCCGTAACTTATTCTGATCAATTCTAAGAAGTAGAATCGTTGTATCCGTAGGTGATACTGTGAAATTTTTTTATCATAATAAAAAATTGACATTCATTGTGGAAGCAAACTGTTGTTATTTTCCTGTCAACATTTTTTGGTTTAATCTGGTTTATTCTTCACGATAGATACACCATTAGATGCAGTGCGTCTGTTACTTTCTCACTAAAGATAATATCTTAAGAAGAGTCAAGTATTGCTATATAAAAAAAAAGTACCGGAGAGGAAGGGGCAGCAATTCATTTGACTTTCACTGTGTATTTGTTTCCTTTTTCTACACAATCACTTTGAAAAACACGAAAAACGACAGTCGGATGTTTCTGTTGATTCATACGCATTAAAATCTTTACTGTGGATCATAGAAATCGTATTATCACCTTAGTACAAGCTTTGAAACTCGGTTGTACAATTAATAATACCGATCATTGTGCTTCCTGATGAGTCAGTACATAGATTTATATGTAAGGCACTCACAACTTCTGTACATGCAAAATACATTAAATTTCTTAGAAGATATATTTCCTCTAATTTAGGAAGGGGTGTAGGTTAGAGCCGATAGGTTTCAAGATTTTCGGAACTTCAATTTAGAGCCGAACTCAATGGTTGTCAGTTCTAGATATCATAGCGAGTAAGAGTTTTGTTGTGTTTTTTCTATTTTGAAAAATAGATGTAATGGTTCTTTGCATAAAACGAACAAAGGTAGAAAAAAATTCAATTGACATTTTTATATGTGTGAAAGTTTTCATCTAATCCAGACCCGATCAGTAAAAGTTTTTAGAACTGAACCTAAGTGAGCTCATTTTAGATCCAATGGGCTCTCGTGTTTTTGTACTCTTACCCATCTACACCTAGTTTTAGTTTGCTTAAAAGAGAATCTGATGATAATTCGTCAGAAAGAACAGAAAAAAGACAATGTAGTTCCATAAGTTTTTCAAAAGTCATTTTAATTAAATAAAAATATATGTATTCTAACATGAAAAAGCATATCGTTAGATTATGATCTCTCCGGTCTTCTATTCATGTTTTATATGTAATATAAAATCGAAATAGTGCTTTGTATGATTAGCCCACACAAAATTCTTAATATGACAAAAATAGACAATGCAGTTAGAAATTTCTCTTCCTACTAATCTGCGTAGGAGTTTACGCCTAGAATACTTCATGTGACACGAACTGGTAAAAAAGTAATTGTAGTCTCATTTGATCTCTAAATGTTTAACAAGAAACATTGTAAATATATCAAATCATCGAATCGACTGACCACAAAAATACAGAATTATTTTTTATATTCATGTTTTTATCATTAATCAAGTAAGTTGCTCAACGATGCTTCTTCAGTCTACATATACAAATTGTCCTAGTGATTTACAGCTCTCTCACAAGAGTATTTATCCGTTTGATTCGGTTTCTTTTCCATCTGCTGTGTACTGATTAGTTAGATGTTGATAGAAATACAATTTTACACACTTTGTATTGAGTATAGGTGTAGACATACTATCCGCTTTATCATTTCTTTATACTCGATGGAAATCATCATGTCTACACCAAACATATACTAATGCGTTCCAAAAATATTTAAAAAGTAATTACTTGCCAAAAAATGAACTACATTCATAAGTTTCCTTTCATTTTCATTGTAACTAAGTTTTTTTGTTGATTTAAAAAACTTTTTCCACCTTGATTATAGACTATATGTTACGATAAAGAGCTATACTACGTGTATTTATTTATTTATTCATTGCCCATATTCGAGCAGTATACCGTTCTATGAAGTTCAAACTTGGATGTGAATGAAAAGAAAATGCGCACTCAAATGAAACTAATTACTTATCTAATGGACATGCGACGATACGTCCACTTTGGTAATGACATAGCGTTTTCTGTCTTAGTCGACAAATGTTCGTCACGATATTTCCTTATTGTTGTCTTTCACATTTACAACAACAATCGACAGAAAAAGGTTTTTTTTCTACTTAACTGTCAACGTTTCTCTTTCGCCAGAGATTTTAATACATCGACACGATGAACTTGAATGTATTCAAATGACAAAAGGCAAAGGAGAATTTTTGAAATACTCGCTCATTTCTGAATCATCGTTCATTGCATACCGGAAGTTTCATCTGTTTAATCGATCGAAATCCAAATCATCTTTGACATTTGCCTCTGTAACATGAGAGTTTCAAAAATCATCGACTTTTTAATGATGAAAACAAAAAGTTTTAACTCGATATCTGATCTAGTCAAAACAAGATATTTCTATTGAAAACGATTTTATTGTTCGATCACTTGCTCAAGTCTATGATGAAAACGTCAAAACAATATCAATTTTATAATATCATCAACTTTGATCAATGATGAACTTTTGTACTCGATTGTTGTTATAGTCACCTACATACATATTACCATTTCGATCGAATGACAAACCATTGGGACAAGAGAGTTGACTTGATTGGTTTCCTTGTCCACGACCACCTACGACGACACTTCCTTGCGTGGTTCCTTGTGTCCAACGCATTATTCGATGATTTGACTGATCAGCCACGTAGACAGTGCCTGATTGATCGACACCGATTCCTCGAGGATTTGATAATTGTGTAAGGTTATTTCCTTGACCTTGACCACCAGCTACAACAATGCCTTGTTTTGCATCTTTCAACCACTTCATCACACGATGATTCATCGTATCCGATATGTACACTGAATGATCTTGATCGACGAATACGTATGCCGGACGATTCAATTGATCGACAAAACTCCCTTGCCTATTGCCACCTGCAACGACTATTCCTTTATCGTCTCCTGTTTGATATCTTCTGACCTCATGCTTATCTCTATCAACAACATAGAGAAATCCATTATCGTCCATTGTCAAGCCAATACCACTAACATTTGAGATGATCGTTTCTCCACTTTTACCATTTTGACGAGGCCATCGAACAACTCTTTTATTCTCATAATCACAGATAATGAGACTATCTCTTTCTTTATCAATAATCACATCTGTCGGACCGTTCAGTTGATCAGGACGGTTTCCTTCTCCATTTCCACCAGCCATAACTCGACCAGTCTTCGCACCACATTTCCATTCCATAATACGATGATTGTCGTATTCAGCAATGTAGAGAGTTTGATCATCATCAACACAAAAACCATTTGGATGGTAGATTTGATTTATTCCGTTGCCTTCTCCATTTCCTCCAGCAACAGTGATACCATTCTGTATCCATTTTGCATTTGCATTCAGATTTACACCGCGTAGTAATGGTGCTGCAACAAAACGCAATTTAGAGCATACTCAGCGAAACAATGTACGTGGATGAAATATAGATATTTAAGAGCAAAGAGCTTTTAATTGATAAGGGAAGAGAAAAATAATTATTACTCAATTATCATATTGAACAAGGTCTCAAGGATAATCTCATTGTTTTAATATTTTCAATAGAGATGATCTGAGAACTCCGTTTGAACGATAATTAACATTCGTATTTTCGAATTAAATATCGAAGTTTCTCCTCATCTCACTATCATCGCAAGACTTTTCATTCTTTAAAGAAGTCTTAATAACAAAATGTTATTATTGATCATCAATATCAATGAAGAAAACCTGACAGTACCGATCTGTTCGAATAAATAATTGTTGAAGGTTGTTGCGAATGATTGAAATGACTAATGATTTTCGATCGAAATCGACCTGTTACTCTAACTAGTTTCGAGACGATGTTTTATTCAATCACTTCAAAAGAACCTTTTTCTTCAATGGTCTTTTAAATCAAGACAATCAACTGAATATGATCGAGACTTTCGTAGAAAAGAAATTCAGATTAAAATCTATGAATGTGGTTCCAATGATGAAATTAGTTATTTGTTTTGAAAATAAACGATCGATTCTTGAAGATACGCTGGATAAAGTTTCATCCGGTTCGATCTTCATTAGATCAAAAAGACGAATATTTCAAATGTGAGGAAAACTTCGACAAAAATATTGCCAGTTGTCTCTGCTGTTTTAGGATCTCACAGATATGACAAAAGTTTTGAAATACTAAAGACGACTATATATTTTCGATAGAGTAAAAACTAACAACTAATTCGAATAGTTTGCAACCAAGTTTTAATATATATTTATGTCTTTACTTTTCATACAATGGCAGTTGAGAACTAAGAGGCTCAAATTTCAAATTTCTCATAATGATCTTTCAAATAATATTTCTCAATCACTTCTCCTTTGTTTTGTTCAACCTATCACGACTTTTGAAAGAAAGAAAACATAACATTTTCTTTTAGAACATCCTATATCTCTAATCAACAATATTTAACAAATTGTAAAACAGTTCATCGTTTTATTTCTATGAGCGTTGACTTTCGATTTATGTCATTGTTGAGATTAACTTAAAAGAAATTTTAAAAAAATATCAGATAATCTTGTGATTTTCCTCGAATTCTTTCCTACATGATTTGTTCCCTGTTGAATACGAATAAAATTCAAAGCATTAAAACTAAAAGGAATAATACATGTAACTATTCTAAATACGTGATAGAATAATCGTCTACATTTTCGGAAGATATTCCAATAAGAGACTCAAAAGAGTTAAAAAAATTTGACACGTAGAAAAGATTCTTTCGATTCAACTCTGTATCATTTGTACTTCGGTTGAAAGTGAACACATAGCGCCTATCTTCACTCTGAAAATTGAGTGCTGATGATTCATCGGCAAAGATACAACATTCGTGTACCTTCGACGAGATATTTTTCGATTAAAGAATAGAAGTTATTTTCATTGAATACCGAAAAACTCATCAACTGTTACATCAAATAACTCCACTTTACGGTAACAACAAAACAAGAAGGTAAGGTGAGACATGAAGAACAACTTTTTAATGATTCACTCTTTGGAAAAGTGATCGATGGTAGAACAAGCTTTCGAAAGAAATATTTACTTGCAAACAATCTTCTAAACAGAGGTAATTGAACTTGTATGTCACAGAAACATACAACGAAATAAGTTTTCAAACATGGATGATAGATTCATCGATCTTTATTATTGTTTCGTTTGATTTCATATTCGCATATATTTTCTTTTTGTTCTTTGTTTTTTTTGAAAACAAATTTATCATGTTTCCTGATGGTGATTAAATCGGATTCAAGTTTCGAGGAACTGCATTTCAAAGTTTAACTGATTTTGAAAGTGTTTTTTTTGTCGAATGAAACATATTGACAATGAACGATCTTGCGATCTTTTTTTCTAGCGAATGTCAAAGAGACAAACGAATGTTGACGAAACCGATTTGTTTTATTAATACAGATGAACAATAAATGAGATTTTCAAAATATTTTATGATGAATTCATTCTTCGACAATATGCTCATTCTTATTTAATGTAAAGCCGAGTCATTTCGTTTTAGTATTGAGAAATCTGATATATTCTTTGAATGTTCAAACATTTTAATGTAAACAATTATCTTACGTAAATATCGAGATTTCTGTCACTATTTTGTGTTGTTTCTCTCTCAACAGCAACAATTGTAAAAGAAAAGCTTGAACGGTCAATGCTTCATCGTAATGGAATTTCAGAATGGGAAGATATAACTCACCTTTCTTTGTAAGACGAATTTTGTTGATGAAAGATGTTGAATCGTACTCAACTTTCAAATCAGGTGAATTGTTGAGAATGTCTTTCAATCGTTTAAGTTCTTCATTGAAAAATTGAATGTCTGGTTCAGCAAAATCATTTTCTTTACGACAATGAATGAGTCGTTCGGTCAGTTGTTTCAAATTTGAATCGAGATTGGTAACAAATGTGATGACACACGATGAGAGCTCATGACGAAGTTCATTGGACACTTGTCGAATCTTTTCGATCGATTCACGTTCCCATGTATCGACTTGTTTGATTAATTCATGTTTTTGTGGCTTGACTTTTTGTTCGTCGATTTCAATTTTGAATGCATTAAATTGATCTTCAGTTTTACCTAATTGTTCACTTAATTCATTATAATGTTCATTGATGTGATCAAGACAAAAATCTTTCGAACAGCCTTTACATGTAACAATGCTCTTTGTTTTCTTGCATTTAACACAAATCGTTACCTGCGTTGCTGTCGCCATATGAAAACCTGCTTTAAAAACAAAAATAAAAAGAAACGAAAGAGGATTGACAAAATGTGATACCAACCATACCTATATTGATTGTGTGTCATGTCAACAAGAGTAATTGCACCATCAAAGTGTTTCGTTACATAGTTAGATTTCATCATGAAAAATTTCACAGCCAATCACAATAAATGTTTCAAAATTGTGCATAGAAAAAAAAAAGAATTTGTGCGTTAGATTTAAACTCCAATTTAGAATTTTAGTTCGAACAAAAAATAGGATTCATTGTTCCTCAACTCATGTGTATCTTTCTTCTCTACATACCAAGCACATTCATCAGTTAATATTTAGAGATTTGTGAATGTTCGAAAATAACTAATGCTTTATAAAATCAAGTCATTTATAGATTTGATTAGATAGACGAAATAAAATCGCTTCCGATGTGAAAAACTTCTCTTCCCATCAATTAATGATGGAATGATTACAAGGTTACTTTTAGCTATGCACTCAACGACACAAATGGATTCGAAATCTTTTGTTTTCTAAATTATCAATGCAATTTCTCGGCTTAGTTCTTTCCTCATTAGATAGAATTCTATTTTTTTCTTTTATTGATGAACACTATTTGACATTGAGCTGAATTTGTATCAAGTGAACTTTCAGAACATGTTATGTTCATAGGCCGTCAAAATACTCGATCGAAAAGATGATCTCATAATCTTCCAGCAGGCTATAATTTAGTTTCTAACATGAATGGCACATCAAGAAGGCCTGATTAGGCTCATAGATTGGATAGATAAAAGTTAAAGCATACTCTGTAAGAAGTAAAAATTATCTATTATTGTTTAATTGTCATTTTCTTCTCACAAATGACGTCTTGCTAAAGAGTCAGTCCACATTCCACTTTGAAATGAAAAAAACAGATTGACAAAACTGTCTTTCTGAGTATAGCAAACTGTTATCGTTATATTTGACAATATCCATAACAACATTCACCGCTGAACGCTCCTTAAGTGTTATGAATCAAATAAAAACATTCATATGTTTTGCAATGAACCAATAACGTTTAAATTATGTTATCCTTCCTCAAATTCATCGATAAAAATTACGTTTTCTTGATTTGAGCAGCAACTGCTCTAATTTTTTTAGTGTTTTTTAGCTTTTTAAGCAGTATTTCTCTGTGACTTCGTTAGTTCTGGATTTTGTTCGAAATAATGACGTATTAGAGAGTTAC